AGTAGAATGGCCTTGTAACAAGGGGTTGAAGGATTGGTCGTGATTTTTCACCATAATTCCACGTTTCGCCGAGGGCCTTAATAACAGATAGAATACATAATTCATAAGTCGTAAACTGTGGTCGTAAATTATAAAAATCTCTTAATCCCGAGGTCGGTGGGGAAAAACTAAAGCGAACTTTAGCAAATCATTCATTTGAAATATCTTTGATCATTTTAAGGGTAGACAACCTAGATCTGTTTTAAAGTGCCTAATTATTTATTTCATATTCAGTTAATGAAACACGTTCAAACACAATATCAATGTCTAAAAACAGTAGTTGAAACTTTTAAAGTTTTAAAATGTGTAATATATTAGTTAACGTATTTTTACTTTATTTCCCCCTGTGGCTATGATGCAAAGCATCCCATATGTTACGGCTGTTAAAAAAAAAGAAGTTATATAGTTGTATATACTTTGCGTTTTAATCCGTTGAAAGTGTTTTAATTGTGTACTACTCGCGTAAACTATAAGCAGCATTTAAAGCTATTGTTTCCCTTATGTAACGACATACATCAGTCAATATGACAGCTCTGTATTGCCACAGACAATGCTTATTACAGTGAACAAATCTAATTACAGTTAAAAAGCCAGGTACAACTGCGATATGAAGTGAAAATGGTTATTCTAGAAATACAATTTAAATAAACCATATTAACGGTTTAAAACTGCTGCAAAGCATCCGAAACGCCGGGCCGTAGAAAAATAATTTCCAAATTAGTTTAACTAATACATATCGCGTTTTAAACGGTTAAAGTGGTTTATTTAATTGTTTCCTATTCGCGTACTACAGACAGTATTTAATATCTTATTGGATTTTTTCTTTAAATAAAACACTTTAACGGTTTAAAACGCGATATATTAGTGAAACTTATTTGAAAATGATTTTTAACTTCGGCCCGACGTTTCGGATGCTTTGCAGCAGCCGTGGTCACGGGGAGTGGATTTTTTTAGTTCGAACGGGTACAAATAAACGAGAAAGCTCTTTAAAATTTAAAAATCGAAAATAAATTGAAAGAATTTTCGACTCGGGCAGACAAAATCGAAATTTTTTTCAATTTATTTTCGATTTTTAAATTATATAGTGCCTTCATGTGCAATAACATGTGAAAAATATTAATGTTTTCAAAAGAAAGCTCTTTACGTCCCACCACAGCTTAAGAAACGTTTCGTCAAAATATTTTTGTCTCTCACAAAGATAACAGCGTCTGAGAACAATTAGCCGATGAAGAATGAATATGTTGTAATGAGAGATATTTTTCTTTTATCCACTTTTCATAACAAGGGGTTTCCGATTCCAAGGCGACCTTAGTTCAAGGAATTTCATTGTATGTGGGTTGGCGTGTGGGTTTTGACATACGTAGACTAATATAGGATGACAAGTTTGTCCAAATTATATACTACAAATAATATAGGACTTTTTTAAACTATTGCAACCTAATAAAGTGATTGAGTGAAAATCAAAAAGTATTGTCTGTACGCGAGTTGCTTTAATGGAAATAAAACACGCGGTTTTGAGCGAAATATATTTAATATACAAATTTTTCATTTATTGTAACTACAGCCTGATGTTTTAGATGCTTGTTTCGAACCGTTAAAAGTGTTCTAATTCATCTTACCTATAAAAACTATAATTATACCTATCCGTATAATAGTGAAATCCACGAATCTGTGTATGTTTCACTGATTTGACTAACAGGCAAGTACTTAGTAGTAAAAATAAAATATTTTCTAGGTATTATCGACTAAGAAAGACAACCACAATCTCGGAGGTTTGCAAAGTTTTCAATAAGTTAATTTTTGGCGATTATTATAACTCAAATTTTCCTATCTCAAGAAAATGTTGTAAAATAATCACTGCAAAATCGGTAATTTTTGTTTCATGAATAGTAATAATATAATTGTTAAAGAATATTCTACTGCTTTGTTTATTAATGATAAAACAGAGGTTGAAAACATTAATATTTTTCACATGTTCAAAATTTCCGACTCGATGCCGGTTCAAGTCCTGCCCGAGTCGAAATTTTTTTTAATTTATTTTCGATTTTTAAATTAAAACAGAGGTTGTTATAAACTTGTGTATATTAGGGCAAGTTAAAAAAAATCCACTGATTGTAATTTCATAAGAAAAATAATGTACAAAAAACATTAACAGCTTAAGTAGTTTTTTTTATTCCAATGTCAAAAATGGACTACGTACGTTGCATTGTCTGATTTAAATTCGCGACCTACAGAATTCCGACTCATCCTATCTTAGACAACGTATAATTCTTATTTTGTTTTATTTCTGTGTCGCGTGAAGAACGTACTTACGTGTTCTATCTCAATCTCTTTATAACTACGACCCCTTTTAAAGGAGTGTCCATCACGCCATGTTGGCTATTCCAAAGATGTATTTCTCTCCCCTCTCCTCCTCCCCCGTCGTTGGATGTCTAGTATTTAAACACTATATTATTTCGATTCTATATGGATTTGAAAATTAAAAAAAAAAATTACTGAAATAAATAATATTAAGATGGAAGTTTATCATTGCGTTAATCGCTCTGGATTCAAATCTCAACGAACCACGCCTTCAAACCCTGAATGAGATGTGTATTACACCGTCGGGTCGGGTACGTCGGGTGTGGTAGTTCTGTTCTGGTAGCTCAATTGGTTAGAGCAACAGCAGGGAGCGCTGTGGATGCCGGTTTATGTACTGCCCGAGTGCTAATGTTTTTTCAATTTATAATCGGTTTTTAATTTTCATAGTTCTGTAATTGTATTAATATGGCAGATATATTAGTCCTATCAACTATTTTTCTAAATAACAACGATAGCATAAACGGTTACAGTAATGTACATGCTATGCTACAGGGGGGGGGGAAGGAGGGGGGGGGCACGTTCCCTTTTTCATTTATTTTCGAGATGATCATTATTTTTTAACAACAGCTTAGATAATAAGTAGATTTAGTAAGAAGGGAATAGCTAGCTCCAACATCGATTACTCTATAACAATTAATCCGGATCCGGAACCGGATTAATTAATTATTATGGATTTAACTCTTGATATCAAATTAGAATTATTGGATTTCCCTTGTAATATGTAGTTTGATTTCATTTTAAAAGCATTGAATGATTATAATAACCACGTGTTAACAATATTATGTACGTATTTACACCTTTAAGTAAAGCACTTTAAGGGTTTAAAACGCGAAATCCATAAGTAAAACTTTCCAGCAACCGACACGTCGGGCCGTAGTTAAAATAATTTTCAAATAAGTTATATAATATGTATCGCACAAGCTAACATAGACTACACTTAGGCGTTATTATAGTTTTCAACATACGGTATTGATTTTGGAATACTGTACGTGTACAATAAATAAAAAATCAGTCAGCCAACGATATATACCAAGCTGAAAGATAATTTAGATTCCTCTCACGATGTACCTTCTAAACTTGAATGGCGGAATTACATAATTAGACTTTGTATTCTTTAATTAACTGCTATTGACCGGAGAGAATTGGATGTTAGCTTATACGGGATAGCATGAAACATAGATATAGACCATTTTACAAATCAATAATCGGGTTACGTTTGATTTTTTTTGCGCTGTCGTCCTATATATTCGGTATATATTCGGCTTTGATATTCGGAAATCCACAGATTGAAATTGAAACGCGATTAAGCTTCGCGGTTTTTTCGTGACCCGCACAAATTCTATATTCTATTTCTATATTCCTACCACCGAGTTAATATCCAGATTTCCAGACGAAGTCCAGCAAGTTCACCTGATAGTGGACCTGGTGGGGATCGTGCCCACGACCCCTTGATCATTAGCCATTGCTAACATTAGCCTAACCGTCAAAATGTTGACTATTGATTTATGGCGGTTGCGTTCTCGTAAAAAAAATTTGGTCGACAGCACATCTTGTGTATATATTTAAATAAAACACTTTAACGGTTTAAAACGCGATATATTAGTTAAACTTATTTGAAAATTATTTTTAACTTCGGCCCGACGTTTCGGATGCTTTGCAGCAGTCTCCCCGTGACCACGGCTGCTGCAAAGCATCCGAAACGTCGGGCCGAAGTTAAAAATAATTTTCAAATAAGTTTAACTAATATATCGCGTTTTAAACCGTTAAAGTGTTTTATTTAAATGTGTACTACTCGCGTAAACTATAGACAGTATTTAATTTTGTGTATATGTTATAATTATAGCTGTGGTATTTCATCTACCATTTAGTGTAGTACAACTATCAAAAAATGACGTATTTCGCTATTATCGTAATTGACGAATTAACGCGTTTTTTAAATTTCAATTAATTTAAAAGTAACGGATGTTTTGAGCAAAATTGTTTCCGGCCAGTTAAGTTTCTTGGCAGTGGTTCGGAAATGCCGTCGGAATCGCTAAGTACCCGAACGACATGTAAGTGCTGAAGTGGGCTTCCTAAACCGAGTTGATGTAGGCTTTTACAATTTTCACTTACCCATCTCAATATCGTTGATAATAATTGAGGCTGAAGAGTATTTTTCTTAAATTATGACCTTTGAAAGCTTAAGCGCGAGAGGTGCATGTATGTATGATGACGAGTAGGACTCGGTAGCTCAATTTAGCGCAACAGCACGGAACGCTATTCATGCCGATTCAGGTCCTGCCCTCGTAGTCTTTTTTAAATCTATAATCGATTTTTAATTTAATTTAGACCTTACTTGAAGATAAATATGTATTATAATTGTTTTGAACAGGATGAAAAATTAATGACAAGAGCAGGAATCAAACCAACAACCCAAATCGTGTGTGTCACGAGTTCATATGCGTTTTACAGTCGTGAGAAAACAATAGTGATACAAGGCAGTATCTAGGTTTAGATAGGTACAGGATGAAATAAATGTCTCCATCCGATTGTTGATTATATAGACATATGAGATAAGTAGAACGGTCTTAGTTAAGTGTAGCGTGTGAGGATAACGAGGGCTAACGGGGTCTTCGAATCGGGTGGTGCCGGAGCGCGAGTGACGTCAGACTCCGGGCGGGAGGCACGGCGCGTGCGCGCTCTAACCCCCGCCCGCCCAAGCCCGCCGACACTTCGCAGTACGCGATCACGAATTTCAGACGCTTCGCGCCCAACTTTCGCCCACCCGCGCACGATTCTACTGTATAAACTTTCGCCAGTGCGTGTACGATCGCGGTATGAACAATTGTGCCTTTATATTGTTGTACGCGGCGTAAAACTATCGGTAAGAATGTGTGGTAGTTGTATAGCATGTCTTTACAAGGCGCGTTTAATAAGCGCGACAAGTACATAATTATGATAAATTAATTAATGATAAGCGTTTTAATTAGTCATGTGTATAGTGTTAGTTGTATAGCAAACATTGGATTGATAAAATCCCGAAATCCGATTTCAAGTGCATCACGAGCGTAGTTGCGTAACTAGCTGCGCTGAGATCGAAAGCCCGACCCCCAATTGTCTAACCCATAATCCATTTACGCTCGACATGGCAAAGCGTGATCTGTTTAAAATCACAATACCCGTAAATCGCTTCAGCTTCATCATTTGTAGACGTGCTTCACTGATGGATTTCTTTATGTTGATGTAGGTGTCTGATGGCTATATTAACTTGAGGATACGAGACGGCTATTTGGCGGGCTCGTTGGTGTAATGATAGCCAACGGGTTGTCGGGTCGTCGGGTTCGATCCTTACCGAGTAAAATTTTTTTTGAAACATGTTGGACTTCGTCTGGAAATCTGGATGTTAAACGGGTGGTATGATTATCGAAATTCGAAAAACCACCGTCAGCAGATAAAATAGTAGGAAGTATAATCGCGTTTTTGTTTTAGTCTGTGGATTTTCAAATATCTAAAGTCAAAATAGGTATCTTGCCGATATGTTATATGGCTGGAGTACTTCACCTTCCATCGAGTGTACCCCATGCTTCTCTGTCTTTCTCTAACATAAAAAAGGGAAAAAAGACTGCTTTTTGGACACTATGCTACATAAATATGTATAAATATGTGATTGTTTCTCTAGTACTGAAATGATAATTATAATTTTAGTTGTTTAGATTTAGATTATTTTAATTGGTGAAAAATATAATATCTTTATAACAAGAAAAGCCGGAAAATATACCTAATACATATTGTTGTCCAGCTTTACTCGTTAATATTGGGATACTCTGGAGAAGGGGGATTTTCAAGAGTATTTTTTGTTAATAAATAACACTCGAAAGGTTAGTAAGGAATGATATAAAGATTAAAATAATTATCTCGCCTGAAGTAGAGATGGCTGAGGAAGCTTTTAAGCGGGGCGGTTATTAATATTGCAGTCATTACTTTATGATTACTTCTTTACTACAAGAAAATTTTTAATTTCATCGTAACTCATATCTTTTCTTGCTTTGTTTTTAAACCTAGTGTAGTAAATTATAATTCTCAAGTATTATAAGACCTTTTAAATAAAACACTTTAACGGTTTAAAACGCGATATATTAGTTAAACTTATTTGGAAATGATGTCTCCCCGTGACCACGGCTGCTGAAAAGCATCCGAAACATCGGGCCGAAGTTAAAATCATTTCCGAATAAGTTTAACTAATATATCGCGTTTTAAACCGTTAAAGTGTTTTATTTAAATGTGTACTACTCGCGTAAACTATAGACAGTATTTTTTATTATAAGACCTTTTTTACTACACTGAAAGGTGAATCACCCATGATAACATACAGTCATATAATTAAAATATATAGTCAGTCTAATTGGAGTTAAGATATTCGGAATTTACACAGCTTTTTCATCTGTGGACTGATATCTAGACAAAATAGTATACATTCCTACTACCATTTATAGTCCACATTTTCAGACGCAGTAAAAAATATTTGTAAAAACGTATAAAATGGACCCAACATTACGTTATTACACTTGTATTACCACCAATTGACCGACTCCGTACCTAAGTGGATAAACGTATTAGCATTGCGTTAAGCGCGAGAGGTACTGGGTTCGTATCCGGGAAACAATAGATTGAAAACTTTATTAATTTTAACATGTTATTGCACATGAAGGCACTATATAATTTAAAAATCGAAAATAAATTGAAAAAATTTTCGACTCGGGCTCTACCAATTGAGCTACCGAGTCCCACACCTCATCGTCGAATTTTTTCAACTTATTGATACATGCACCTATCGCGCAATGTAGTTTCAACCTTAACACTTGCTAATTAAGGTTCAGGACTCGGTAGCTCAACAGCACGGAACGCTGACGATGCCGGTTCAAGTCCTGCCCGAGTCGAAATTTTTTTCAATTTATTTTCGATTTTTAAACAATAGATTGTTTCGATCGCGCAGAGCACAGAAGTCTGATCAACTACTCGCCTGTAAGTAAAACCAATCAGTTAAACGGAGACGGAAATGTGTTCGCCCCATGCCCCATGAATAGGCATTCACTATACTACTTATTTGTTAGTTCTAGTAGTAACAACGTTATCTAGTATGTACTAACGTTTAATTACTAGGCAACATAGTATCACATTGAGTAATATCTTAACTAAATTTAGATCATTAAGCTTCTGCGAACAAGAATAAGATTAGCTCAATTAAGAGCTTACACAGCTAAAGTTTAACTTGTCTAAACAAATTTATAGGTAACAGCTAAATGAGACCAAATCGCAACCCGGCTCGAAAAACTTCAATAATTACGCTCCTTTTCAACTGAAAGATTTTCACCGTGATTAATCAGCTTTAATCTAGAAAGTTTTGATAAATGATTTCATAGATATATTAGGTACTAGCTGTGCCCGCGACTTCATCCGCGTTCCGTCGTATTTATGAGTTAATCTTAAATTATGTTTTTCGATCATTTGAACAAAAGTTATTTTATGTTTTATTCGTTCCATGCATATTTCTTGAACCGTTTTTGCAGCACAAAAAGAAGAAAGGAAGCCCTCAAAAGTAAGTGATTTTCCCTATTTTTACTTTTAATCCACTGTGTCTTCGCTCCTATTAGTCGCGGGGGGGGGGGGGTATATAGCCTAAAGCCTTCCTCAATAAATTGTCTGTCCGATACAAAATAATTTTTCGTACTGATAGTTCTTGAGAATAACGTGTTCAAACAAACTCTTTAGCTTTATAATATTAGTATAGATTTGTTTATGTATAATCATATACAAGTGAAGATATAGCGAGAAATGTGAAAAAAAAACGGGGAAAATTATTTATCTTTGTAAGTTTCCGATTCGTACGCTGCAAAAACGGTTCAAGATACACATGTATGTGTTCTTGAACCTATCTCTTAAGACGAACTCGCAAGAACGACGGGGCGCGATCGACGGGACGCGAGCGATGACGTAGGTAACAGTTAGCAAAAACAATTGTGGATGCCCAAAATAACTATTATACGTGGACGAAGTCGACTCAGCTATTAAAATAATATGATTAGCTAAATACTGTCTATAGTTTAAGCGAGTAGTACACATTTAAATAAAACACTTTAACGGTTTAAAACGCGATATATTGGTTAAACTTATTTGGAATTTTTTTTAACTTTAGCCCGACGTTTCGGATGCTTTGTAGCAGCCGTGGTCACGGGTCTAATATATCGCGTTTTAAACCGTTAAAGTGTTTTATTTAAATGATTAGCTAAATAAAAAAAATGTGCATGGTTCTTCAAATAATAAAAGGGCTAGAACAACTACTTAACAATTTAAACAAATAGTTAACTACCATGCAACATCGCAGATCTGAAGTTTGTAAGAAACTTATCACTTAAAATATTAAGAACCCATCTTGAAAATAACCACAGACAAAACTATGACAAAATAGTTGAAAAGCAAAAACAATTTACATTACTTTTCCCCAGTTCACGTTCACTTCTCCTTTTATTTTACTTTGAAATGGCACTTTCATAATTATCTTTGAGAAATAATAACGTTATTCTTTGCTAAGCTGTCTAGAATGGCCGTGTAAGAACGTTGCAGTTCTGAAAACGCTCTTACGGTGGAGAAAACTTAATTCTCTTGTTATTAACTTCTGAAACCTTTTGTGGATCATCTCTTTTGTGGTCGCTGGGTATGATGTCTGTTTAATTTTACAAGAAAATATGTGAGTTCGTTGAACATTAACAGTGTAGAACGTGTGTATTTTTCGAACACTTTGTAATTTTAACGATACTTTACAGGACACAGGGAAACTTACCTTTCAGTGTTTTCAGCTCGTAAACATTTTTTTAGTAACTTCATCTGAAAGTCTGTTATTTAGCGAGCAGTATACATTTAAATAAAACATTTTAACAGTTCCAAACGCGATATATATTAATTAGAGTAATTTAAAATAAAAATAACTACAGCCCGACGTTGTGGCTGATTTACAGCAACTGTCGTGACGGCTTGTTTTATTTAAATAGGCGAAATCACATTTTATAAGTATACTAGCTGAGCCGGCTAACCTTGTTTTGGCATTTAAATAATTTTACTAAAATGTCTATTAAAAAATAAGGGTTGATCAGGAAAATGAGGATTGTATGTATTTTTGTATATTGTATCATAAAGAAATAGAAATTAAAAATTTTGTTTAAAAATTTAAAAAAATTTTTAAGGGTGAACCACCCTTATCACTTAGGGAGATGAAAAATAGATGTTGTCCTATTCTCAGACCTATTGAATACACATATGAAATTTGTTGAAAATCGGTCGAGCCGTTCGGAGGGGTTCAATTCGAACACCGTGACACGAGAATTTTATATATTAGATAATAAAATTATATTATGACACTAATATTAAAACGTATGTTCGAGTATGCTGAGTCTAAGATATGACGCATTCGTGTTTTTATTGATAGGAGGTGAAATATCCCGGCCATATAACATCTACACAAGATGCGATCTCGACCTATTTGTGCTTCGGATATTCGGAAATCCACAGGCTAAAATTGAAACGCGATAAAAATTCACGGCCTTTTCATCTGTAGAGGGTGGTTCGAGACCCGGGCGGAATTTTGATATTCCTACCACCCATTTGATACACATCTAATCGACTATTTGCTCATAAACAAACCGATAAGGGATAATATACAAAAATGCATCACGCTAAAAAAACGGGAAACGTTAAAACGAGAGAGGCTGTACAAGTAATTAACATAAGATGTCTCTAAAGATAATAATAACGATAAAATGCTTGACGTATAAATTACTGAACGTCGCGACGCGGCTAAGTGTGAAGCATGGCAGTAATAAATTTCCAGACCCCATTTAGAAGGGTAATTTTGCTACCTAGTTCCAAAGTGTAATTACTACTGCATAGTATATATTTT